ATGTAATCATTATATTAAACTTATTGTTTGTTTTATAACGTAATTAATGAAAATATTTAGCATCACTTTAAAAAAATATTACACGATAAGGTGATAAGGATAAGAGAATAGTCATGACATCAAAAATATCACAAGTAATCTCACCAAAATCAAATACAAAATTTAGTAGCTGTTAATCATAAACATTAACTTTTGGAAATTAAATATAAAGTGTGTCCAGAGATTAAAAAGTAATCCATAACTTTTCATGGATTACTTCAGCTAAACTTGATAATGTTTATAAAAACAATCTTTACAATATTTATATTTCACTTATTTTTTTGTCAAACTCTATACGAGTATATAATATACATAACAAGATATATAATGCAATATCTTAGTAATACCAAATGATGTGTTGGATTTTCATCAGACTATATTAAGACTAATTATTGAAACAAAGCAATTTAGCTAAAAGTAGGTGGTTAAACCACCATTTCATGGAATTTTTATGCTTAACTTCATACCTCTCTCTAGCTAAATTGCTTTGTTTTAGATTATTAATGTCTTAAAAGAACCTGATAAAAATCCAACAGATCATTTGCTATCGCTACACAAAGTATATATGTATAAAATATGGGGGGGGCGTGTCAGGATGTCGAAGCTGCGAGTGACTTTTTTGTGAACTTTACATAAGGATAGTGAAGTGACAAATAATAGTCTGTTTGATTAATTTATTACTAAATAAGTGCAAACTAATATTATATACTTCAAGTTAAAGGAGGAAAGTAATATTTCAAAAAATAACATTATGCAAAGATCCCCAGTTAAGCGAGGAAGACCGCCACTTACAAGATCGAGAACAGAGAACAAACAAGATTATTCAGGTTCTTCAAGCTCAAAACTCATTACGGACTATGGAATACAGTTAAATAGTGATTTGCAAGAAGAAATAAGAGAGTCTAACCAGCAAAATTTATTGAGTTCAACAGGTGAGTCATCTAATATTAATTCAAATGCCATTACAAATCTTGCAAGTCATTTTGACACTTCTACTGCACTCTTATGGTCTAAAATATCTGATTTAATAAATGACTCTAATGATAAACTACTAGAACAAATGGTCTATATAAAAGAAGATATAGAAAATATACGTCAGGACATACGTGAGTTCAAGGAAAAACAGCTATACACGGAGAAGGAAATTAAAAATTTACAACAACAATTAGAACAACAAAAAAGTGAAAACGAACTAATGCAATTCAAAATAGATTCTTTAAATAATGATTATAATTATAAAAAAGTAATAGTATACAATTATCCTGTTGAAAAATATATATCTACATCAGAAATATATAAGTTTATGACAAATGTACTTAATATTAATGACATATCCCAATCTGATATAATAGAAACAAACTTAATAACAAAGAAACCTAACATAGTAGTAAGAATAATATTTAATAATAAGCAAATCCGTGATAAATTCTTCTATACTTTTATTCAAAAGAAACAACTAAGAAATACATCAAATGAATGGAAAGACATGCAAATGGCACCAGAATTAACCAAAAACTCAAGATTAAGAAGGAAAAAGTTACTCCCAATTTTTTTTTGAATGGCGAAAACAAAAAGATCAAGTTAAACTTCGTAACGATATATTAATGATAAATCAAGAAAAAATAACATATAGTTTAAAATTGTGTAAATTGGTTTATGTAAACAACTTTCATCCTTATAGTGACCAAATAGATAGGAACAGCTGATACCATGACAAATAAAAATTTAATCATTTTAATAGAACCATAAAAAATAATCAAATGGTTTCCATTGTAAACTGGAATGGTCAAGGAATAAAAAATAAAATGTCATCAATAGTTAAAATTTGCGCTAAATACGAACCGGATATTTTAGCAATTACAGAAACTTGGATTACTTCAAATTTATAATATAACAAAAAATTTTTCAACGATTATATAGTAGAAGCGATACAAGCACTCCAAAGGAAAATAAACCAAATAAATTTGTATTTCAAGTCCAAATATTTAGCAATTAATCCAAGCAAAACTAAAATAATTATATTTCGGAATAACAGTAAAATATCCACCAATGAAACAAAAATTTATCTCGAAAAAATTTTACTACAAACAGTGAATGAAATAAATTACCTAGGAGTTAATTTCGACTGGAATCTAACATTTAAATCGCATATATCTAAACTTAAAAATAAAGTTAAACAAGCAATAGATAACCTTCTATTTTTGTGCAGCAAATTAAAAACTTCAGATTTAAGAATACATATGAAACTTTACAGCTCGATTATTAATCCAATGTTATTTTACGCCAGTCCTATTTGGTGCTTGGACTATTTCTACCAACTCGAACAATTCCACATTTATTATCTACGCAGACTATTTCACATAGAAAGAACAGTACCGGGATATGCACTACGTCATGAAACTAATCGAATATGGTTATTCCCGTTTATATTAAAGCGAATTATCAAATTCTTCTACAAACTTAATTTCAAATGTGATAATAATTTAACTATTTTATACCATGAAAATATTAGACAAAGTAAACTACAAAAAAATAAACAACTATGGTATAACAAGCTGCAAACTATCTTCAATTCCTTTGGAGTATCAGTTCTATTATTTAAAGATAAAATTCAAGATTGGAAAACAGGTTATTCATTGATGTTAGAATCAGCTATAGCTCAATCTATAACAAAAGATCAGGACTCTCTTTATAGCAGTAAATATCACTCGTGGTACTTGGATATATTTGAAATACCTTCAATGCAATCATATATATGGCAATCGGTAAATTTGAACATAAAACGATTTATAATGCAACTTCGTCTAAACAAATATTCGCTGTATGTTAACAATACTTATATAAGTTTACTAACTAAATGTTTTTTATGTAATGCTGACGTTTTAACACCTTACCATTTGATATTAACATGTCCAAAGTTAAAGGAACTTCGTGAACATTATGATATAAATAGCACTTATAAATGCAACTCGCTAATAGAATTGTTAAAAAATTTTAACAATATGAGTAAAAAAGAATTATATAATAATTATAATTATTTTTGTAAAATAATAGAAACTTATAATAACAAAATAAATTAAATTAACGAATATGTGAATATGTACGTGAGTAATAAGTGCAAATTAAACAATTAATGGAAAAATATTGTTTTAGTAAAGATAAATATGGACACATGAAACTACAACCCCTTGTAATAGGGAAGTAATTCCCATTAGACAATAAACTTTTTCTGATTTCTGATAATGTATAAAATATGATTTGACATACAAACTATTAAAATTTTCCAATTAAAATCACATAGCTAAATAGTTTATACAAAGAAATGCAATATATTAAACAAATTTAAATCATTTATGTAATAACCTTGAATTATAAAGAATTATAACAATCTACAGGACCACTGAGGAAGCAGGAGGGGATGTTTTCCCAGATCCTCAGAAAACTTAGTGCACTGTAGTGGTTCCAGCCCTATGAATTAAAACATTATTTTTACTAACAAAAAATAAATTCTTTAAGACTGATTTCTATTAATAAACATTTTATATGTATTTAATTTGTTCATTATATATATAATGAACAAATGAAATACACACATATATATATATAGAAAATAATTATTAAAAGGGTCCTCCAAAGGAGCAAAAGAGGCTCACTCCACTCCTGGATTCTGTTAAGCTCTCAATGGCCCCCAATACTTTATATTAATTCTTAAGTCAATATAATCGATTCTTGATTTTTTTAACTTAATTTATTTATCAAAAATTCTCTATTTCTGATAAATCATTTAAGAATGTTACATTGAAAATTACACATTAAATTTTTCCTTTTTTACTTTGATGATTTATAGAGCTGAAATGACACTTCGGGAAAATAAGAACATTCATTTACGTTTCAAATATATTTGTTTCAATAAAATAAATATATTTGATATATTCAAATGTGCACTACATTTACAGATATTATCTCAACTACTGTTGCTGACATTATATCTATAATTATTTATTTTATTTATAAAAATACTTTTTAATAAATAATGTATTAAATAAATACATAAACAAATAACTTTTTATTTTATGACTATTATTATTATTGGACAACAGAAATTAAACTTGGAACAAATTAAATAGAAAATAATTTTATTAATGATATTAAAATTACTTTCTTTTTACCAGTATTAGAAATATCCTTTATAAGTAATGATAAACTAAATCAATAAATAAATATATTTGGCTATTAAATATCATTATTAATCATTAAATCAAAACTTATTATTTCACATTTATTAAGAAAGTTTATCAAATGTAAGTTTATTTCAAACTTCTTTCCTCAATAAAATATTTTGGGAATCTCAAGAGCTATGGGATCATCATTAAGGAATCAATTCCTAATGACATATATATATATTGTAGACTAAAAGCATTTGAGGTTTCTAAAAAGTTTTGTTATAAGAAAAACGTTTGAATTTAATTCAATAATTTCTCATTACATGTAATATAACTTTGTTTCTTTATATAAAATTTTGTTTGGATTGAAAGAATGTATTTGTTTAGAAATTAGTTATAAAACAGTTATAAATTAATTATCGTAATTTGACTTATTTGTTCATTAAAACTGATAGATCAGAGAACTTAGAGTACGTTTTCTGTTCTACTAGTTTAATGAACAACTTAATCTATTCTCCTAATACATTAAGATAATAGATTAAATAAATTCTGAATTTCAAAAATACAATTACTTTGTTTATACTTTGGTTTGTACTTGATAATCAATTAATTTGGTAAGTATTCTTTTGAATTTGTATATCATATTTAAAAAAACAAATTATTTTATCTAATTTAAAAATTTCTTTTAAAACAAAATGAGCAAATTAATTATCAATAAAATTCTTCTTAATAACAATGCCATTGTTATTAAAATAAAATTTATAAATACTTATATTGTATTATCCAAATTAATTTTTTATGCTTTAAAATTTGTTTTTTGTATTCTATTTGCAAAATATAAAGATTTCCAAAATTAAGGGAGAGGCCAAGGCAATCCACTAAAATCTACTGGTCCACCAAGTCCAGCATCTGCTTCTAGAAGACTCATGATAACAGCCATTGCAGCTTCATCATTTCCTTCATTACTATTATTCTGATATGATGCCTGTAACATCTCTCTTCCCATCAAAGTATCCATCAATTCCAAATCAGCTGAAAATAAATAAATATATATTTAAGAATATTTGACACTTAAATTTTTAAGTTTTTTTTTTTAACAAAAGTATAAAAATTATAAATAATCAAACCACTACACAATTTTTACGTAATGCCAGAGTCAATAGATATACTGGTCCCACAGATACCATAGCTCTAACACTACAAAAGTGGTGTAATAAATATTTTTGCCACTTTGAGTGCTGTAATCATTCTGTAGCAAAAGTTTGTCTCAAGCATAGCTAGTCAGCTGCAAACATTTGAAATTTCTTTTAAAACACAAAATTTTCACATTTTTAAAAAAGACAAAAGCAATATCTGCATTAAAAGACTACTTATAAATACTATTTTAATTTGATTTTGAACATTATTTATTCGTAAATGTTGTTAATATTACATAATTTTAAACTTTAAATTGATTCAATTGCTTCAAATTGATTCATCATTTGTGTTCATTTTGAAATATTTTTGGGAGTTGGGTAACAAAAAGTAGTCAAAAAGAACATATCTATAACATATCTATTATTAACTAGTTAAACATATCTATACATTATTAATATGGAATGTCTTCAAGATTATCAAGAACTCTCTTTCAGATTTAGGAAGAAAAGAGGTTGATGAGAATTATATAAATTTAATTATGGAAACATAAAATGTTTAATCTATTTGGTTTAAGTATTACAAAAGAGAGAATTTAGGATGGATTTGGAGTTTACCAAGGTTTAACTTTAAACCCATATTTTTTTTATTTATTAACATTAGATGAATTATTGCTGAATGCAGTGAGAAAGGAGTTATGGTATACATTATTCATAATTGATATTGTATGTATTTATTAATGAGGTGAACGAAAAAAAGTTAATCAGATTAGAGAGAGGGGATTAAAAGTCAATAGATTTAGTTCTTGGAATTCAGATATGAACTGTTAGAGGAAGGAGATGGAATTAGACTTCAGGATGAGTTAAAAAATGTAAATTTCAACTATTTAGGATCACATTTATAGGTAGATAATAACAAATAGAATAAATGTAAGATGGCAAGAACTCAAACAGTATTATTAGATATTGACAGTGATAGTGATGATATGGAGTCTGAACGGTATGTAGGTGTTATACATGCAGAGAAAACTCCATGCAGACAGCCTGTTGGTGAGATGCAAACCCATAAACAAATACTAATGTTCAGTGGTTTTTATCCAGGGATATAGTCATAAATTAAAAAGTGATAGGGTCGACAAAAACCTTTAAAATGCAGCTCTCAAAAATCTAAAAATCATTCCTAAAGTTCTAATCACAATTGTAGTATCTTTTCCACATTATAAAGGAAAATTTATTACATAATAGGGGTCTTATTTATGCATTTTAGCCATTTTACAGATCTTTTGCCACAAACTTGCACTTCTTCCATATTATGGAGTTTTGTATAAACTCCATAAACAGTGGCAATTCAAACTTGGGACACTGGTTAGTACCCTATCACTTTCACTCTTTTCAAATTGCAGTTAAGTAATAATCAAATATTGACAAAAATCCTTTAAAATTCAGCTTTTTATTAACTAATCGGATGTTTTCGGCTATTTGAATGACCTTCCCCAGGAATAAAAATCGAATGATTTCGATTTCTATAAAATGAAGTTTGTTATGGAAGAATTTTGAATGTTTGAATTTTCAAACATTCAAAGGTGCACTAGACAGCTATGAAAATTCAAACATTCAAAATCTTCTGTTAAATATACTGTATTTCAAAAAACTGGGTACTTAATTATATAACACTCATCAAATAAACCAGTTCATAACCAAACAGAAAAATTCTTTCTACAAACGTTTTCATCTATATGTAATAAACATCCTCAGGTATTGACGATATCGAACTAATGGCTAGTAGAATTACATAGTTAAACGGAACTTTCAAAAACATTCTACTCTACTAGCCGTTAGTTCGATATCGTCAATACCTGAGGATGTTTATTACATATAGATGAAAACGTTCGTAGAAAGAATTTTTCTGTTTGGTTATCTTCTGTTAAAATCATTATTTTAGCTTATACCTGTTAATCAATAATCGCCATCCATATTTTATCTAATGTCGCAACTCCTGCATTTCTCATAATCCATGTAAGTTTCCTAATGACCTTTTACAATTTTGTAACATTACAATAAATTTACGCTAACTTGTATACATTATGCTAACCTGTATGTAATTTTCCCTATATAGTTGTAACACAAGAGTTGAAAAGGGACATAATTGTCCAAAATGCATACTCAAAGAAATAAAAAGTTTTTCTAAAGCTTGTCCTCCTTTTCATTGATGGTATAATAAGTCTAGCAAAAAAGAAAAGCCACCTTAGCGCTCATATAATTCAAGTAATACCTTAAAAAATAAACATTAAAAATGAATTGCTGTCATATAAATGCCATTAAAACAATCTGATTTCTGACTTTTTAAATCAAAAATTATATTGTTTTAATGGCATTTATATGATAGCAATTCATTTTTAATGTCAATTTTTCAAATAAATCAATTTAAACACTTTTAGAGTAATACTGAAAATCCAACACAATTCTTTGGTAAATTTATAAAATGCATACACCACAGTAATGTTTGAAAACCTAATTTCCATTTTCCAAACATTAATCACCATTTTATAAATGCAATATGTAATGGAATCAGTCCATCAGTGGTTTATATTTCTGTATTTAAAACTGTTACTTGCAACAATTTTTTTGTCTCATGAGTGTTGGATTAGAGAGGTTCAACTGCTTTCTTCTAGGTTTTATTTTTATAGCTACAATGGTCTGCATGCAGCTTCAGTATGACTATATGATTTTCACCATTGATAATGCATTCAAAGTAGCATTAAAAGTTTCAAATCTTCCACAATATCATAGTAGTTTTGACTACTCAGATTGCTATTACAACTAGCTATAATAACTATTCAAAACCATTCCATTCCAAGCACTATGGCAATGGTTCCCAATTAGTGGTACGCGTACCCCTGGGGGTATGCAAAATTGCATGAGGGGGTACGCACGGCAATCTAAAATTGGTTGATTTAAAATTTAAATGCATGAGATGAAGCAATCAAAAAAATAATGGGTGGACCATCAAAAATTTGGCAATTTACAACATGATGTTGAATGCACAAATTCGTTTATTTATAACTAAATCTATAACTAAAAATATTCTCAAAATTTCATCAAAAAATGCATTTGTGACAATACCTAAATGAAATTCTTATACAAGAAACAAAAATTGTACAATTAACACAATTTGTGTTAATTGTACAATTATCATTATCATCATGTCAGTGAAACGGAAATAAAATATTTACTACCATTTTGCACAACATACCTCTGCAAGAGTGGATTTTCGGCCATGACAAACATGAAAACTAAAAATTGAATTATGACTATTTACAAAAAATTATAAAATTTTTCAAGTCTATCTTTCATTCTTTTAACGCACTACAGAAGTAACAGTATAGAAGTTTATCCAAGCCAATATACTGTTACTTCTGTGATGTGTTAAAAGGATGAAAGATAGACTTGAAAAATTTTATAATTTTTTATAATTTATCACGTGTTCTATGGAAGTTTATCCAAGCCAATATACTGTTACTTCTGTGATGTGTTAAAAGGATGAAAGATAGACTTGAAAAATTTTATAATTTTTTGTAAATAGTCATAATTCAAATTTTAATTAAAGATATCCTGGGTTGTTCATGTTATTATGTATGCTGTTATGCAAATGAAAACTAAACATCATCACTGACTTCAACTCGAAGATGACTTGAGACTGAAGCTGACCAAAAAGCAACCATATTTTACAAAGTTGTGCAAAGAAAATCATGTGCATTTGTCGCATTAAAATTAAATAACCTTATGTTATTTTCATTATTATTATTAGAATTGTATTTTAAAGGAAATAAATGTAAAAAAACTTATTCTATTTATCACTAGCTGTCTACCCACAGCTTCACTTGCATTATATCGAATTTTCTTGTGGGAGTAAGATATTTTCTCGCAGTAAAATGTAGCCTATGTCCATCTCCAACATGTAAGCTATCTCTGTGCCAAATTTTATTAAAACCGGTTTAGACATGAAAAGGTAACAGACAGACAGGCAGAATTACCTTTGAATTTATAATAAGAGTATGGATTAATATGAATTTCTGCTATAAGGGGTACACGAGTTTGAGCTCTTTCTTGAAGTGGTATGCAGGAAAAACTAATTGGGAACCACTGCACTAGGGCCTTAGTTTAACATGATATACTAGCTAGCTATTTGAAATATAAGATTGTTCTAATATACTAATAAACTAGTGAAACAATTTTAATTTTTTGCCAAAATTACATATAAAATCATTTTGCACATTTTATTTCATACAAAAATAAATAAATATAAGAAAATAGGTTACACACTATTATCACGAATTCCAGTTGTCTGAGTTGTAGAACTAAAGTCACTAAGATTAGAATGAGGTGAATGATTAGTAGTGCCATTCAACATAGCTTTTACTTGTGCAGAATTTTCACCTTGATGATTCCTTATTTGAACTTTGGAAGAATCCTAAAATTAGAAACAAATAATAATAAAAGCTTATTGTTTAGAGTTTTTAAAATTAAAATCTTTACTAAATTTTGATTCTTTATTAATATTATTTCAAATTTTTAATACAAATTTAGTAAAATTATGCTACCATTACTACTATTTACTTAAGAAATTTTTTTAAAAAGAAAGAATACTTTCAAAAGTCAGTTAGTAGATTTTTCTTGTTCTTTACATTATTTAACAGTTATCATTTCAATAAGCAAAATATACAACAAAATTGGCTACATGAATGAAGTATCTATAAATGCAAATTAACTGAGTAATGAGTTTATCATTATAGAAGGATCCTTTATTACACAGGGTGATTGAAAAGTCACATACATAAAAATGTCAATTTGTGTAAATTGTATCAGTTATTTTTATTATGTCTCCCACCAAAAGATGTGACTTTAGTGACTTCTGATTATTAATAGAAACTCTGACTTTTGTGTGAAAGTCATAAAATGAGTTGCAGTATAGCTTTGTTCATTGAAGAAGTGAAATGGTTTTTTTTCTCAGGAACAACGGATTTTCATCGTTGAGTATTATTTCACCATTCATTTCCATTCATGCACAAGTTTCAGAAGCATTTCATTGGAAATATCCAGATTCTGCAGTTCTTGTGAGAATTCTTTGGCAACTGTCTTATTTCTAAAGGATTGTGGTCCCTACAATGACCAGATTTTGTCACCCCCAGAGTTTTTCTTTGGGGATATCTCAAAGAAGCCATGTATAAAAATAATCCACACAGAATAGATGAACTAAATAGGAATATTATAATAGTGATTGCCAGCTTCAATTTTCAGGTGCTTTACAAGGTGAATGAGAGGCCATTTCAAACATATCTTGTAATAATCTGATTTCATTTTACTTTTCTTAAAGATCAGATTATAAACTTTGTTTTTACTACCTTCTATAGTTTCATACTTTAACCCAGGGGTGGCCAACAGTTTTTGCTCCTGGGCCGAATTGGAAAGAAAACTTTTTTCACGGGCTGAACCAGAGGCTGCCCTAGCAAGATTTTGAGGTGGTGCGAGATCTCATTGTGGTGTCACCCTGTAGAGATTAAATTGTACATAGAGATTACAGATACATTTTTCACATTATCATGCATTATCAACATTCTACGAGATTTATAATGGAGAGTTAACTCTAAATGCACAGTGAGTTGTTGACCTTTTTCTTTTTTTTTATTTTTAGGCGTCAGAATTTTTCATTAAGATATTTGGACTTGAGTAGCTAATATTGAAAGATTAATTGCGGGCCACATAAATTCATTACACGGGCTGTATGTTGGCCATGCCTGCTTTAACCTCACAAAATAAAATTGATTCCTAACATATGCAAATGACTTTTTGATCACCCTGTATTATTATGTTTACATTTAAGTAAAGACAACACTTGAAACATTTCAAGTATTTTATGAAAAGATGTAGCATAAAAAGTCAATATCTTATATTTTTTAAAAATATTAGAACAAATTTTTATTAAAGTAAAAAACTAAAAACTATTGCTATTGATAAATAAAAAATTATTTAAAAGCTTTTAAATGAACATACCTCTGCTGAACTTGAAACATTTTGAACTTTTGTTAATCCAATATTTTCTAACATAGAAACATCATTACTGCTTGTTGAAGAATCTCTTCCTCTGTAGAAATTGACATAAATACAAAAAAAAATTAAATATATGAACTAATTCTTGCACATTATTATTATATGACATATACATATATTAATAAAAGCATTTAACATTTATTTATTAAAATAAACATTATATAAGAAATATAATAAACATTATTGATTACATAAAATATTGTAATCAATATAGTACTTAAAACTGATTATGTATATCTGAAAACTAGTGTGGGCACAATCTAATATAATCAGTCAGAAATAAACACACATAACTGTGTATTCCTTCTATAGGTTTGTCTATATCATACAAAAGAAGTTGGTTATATTTTTTAATTGAAATAAAACTATATAAATTATTTCATTCAGTATCAACTTAATTCTTAATATTTGATGATATTGGTTATAACATTGATAATAGGGAATTTATTGTTTAAAAAACTGAAAATACTGTACTTATAAAAAATTATATAAAATCCATGATAAATAGGATAATACAATTTTTATCATCTTGAAATGTTTTATATTAATACTTAGAAAACTATTCAGAATATAGATAAAACTCTTGATCTTGAAACTCGACTTCATTATAATTGTGGTAGTAATCAATCAAGAATAAAATCAAATCTTCGACAAGTCACTCTTGAAAGTTTAATTTTATTTTTAATTGATTAGTTACTGTATGGAGTTATCATTCCTTTGTTTAAAATTGTCTGATATTATAATTGATGCTTTAACAGTGAAATTGATAAGAAAAATTATTTTCTATTCAGTATCAAATTCTATCTGTCATATCTCTAAGCAATTTTTTTTGTTGTGTAGAATAAATTATTATATGTGTATAATGTCTTGAAAAATAATATTTTGACATTTTTACCAAATACTATTAATTTTAAATTTTATTTTAAAATAAAAAAAAATTTAGATTATATATTTATAAACTTAAAAGATAGTATTTTAAAATAATTACTTTTGTAATTCAGTTTCATCTGCAATTTGTTTCCCTATTTTAACTGCTCCTATTCTGCTTCCTGAAAATCTTTGAATATTATCTCCACTTGATATTCCTGATGGCAATGATGATAAGATAGCATCAAAACTATTAGAATTACTACTTAACATATCTTCGAAAGAAGTATTGGAACTTTCCACCACTTCAAAGTTGGGAGCCCTTAAATAAATTTATTTAAATTTTATATAAGAATGATTAGATGTATATATAATTTTAAATTTATTTTGATTATAATAATTTGATACATAGTTGTTAACATTATAATACTTTACAATGAATGATGTAGCAATGAATGCTATGTCATTCATTGTAAAGTACATCATACTTTTCCTGTTAAAAATGAAGTTATGCCAGTCATCTATATAACTCCATTCAGGAGAAATTTTTTGAATTGCAATAACATGACTTCCAGCCCAAAGTGGAAATTTGTATATAGTTAATTGGGGCCTCCTGCCCCTAAAGCTTTTTATATATGGTCTTGACTTTCATCTATTTAACACCAGTCACAAGATTAAGGAAGGACAGACAGACAGACAAACATACATACATACATACATACAGATGACAGTGAAAATTTATGTCTGCAATTGTTTCAAATTGCAGCCCAATATCTTTTTCAAGTAATTCTCAGCTTTATTACACTCCTAAACAGTTTGAAGATTAAAGCTTTGATCTGAAACTGGTGAATTATTTTTGCCTGGGCATAGTCCAGGCTACTGGGATAACATTTGAACTTTTTATGTGAATTTAAAAGAAAATTCCATGTTGGATTTTGATGATTTTGGTGTCAAAATGCTCAGTAGAAACTGGTGTGTGCATAAATTAGTTTGGAAAATATAATTAACTCTGAGAAAAAATATATTAAAAAAGTGTTGACTTTTGCCTCTTTGATGCTTAATAACAAAAATGTATTTTGACATTTTTGAGTGCTGTTTTTTGGAATATAAAACCAGACAGTTGCTTGATATTTTTCCAGAGTTTGGTGAATTTTGGTTGAACTACAGATAAGTTATCTGAGTTCTAAGAAAAAAGAAGCAAATTTACGTCCCCCATTCCCACCAGATGGCACCATGTTACCTAGCTCTTCAATGTGCAGCACTAATAATGGGAACATTCTGGAACAATTCAGACTTTGTTGTTTTTTCAAGGTATGGCCGTTTTGATATCATTTTTGTACAAAAATACAGTTGATTCCATTTAATTGGGCCACTGATTAATTGGGGCGGCTGTTTTTTTGGGCCAAATCTCAAAGAACGAAAACCAAACTAATAAACGGAAACCAAACTAATAAACTAATACATAATTTAAACACTTAATTGGGACAACTTTTCACTTAATGGGTCAGTAGCAGAAAAGGAATTTAGCAATTTTGGATATATTTTAGGGATCTTCAAAAATATGTCAACACTATGTATACTAATGTTGTACAGTAGACCCCCTATAAAATGGGTTCCTATAATTACGATTCCTATAAGACAGCAAAAAAATTGTGGCGTTATCCGTACACAATGGTAAAAAAACTCCTATAATTACGTAAAACGTCATCAGGCAGCCGAACTACTTTCTGCCATCCGTAGCACCACGCTACGGACGTTTAGGCAGGTAAATTGAGTTTAGTTTCATCTGTACATATAATTATATATTAATTATATATAAATTAGGTACTGTATATATAATTATATATTAACTTAATTTATTATAACCTTATTATAATTATATATATGCTTTCTGCTGCCTGGCGCCACACTATAAAGAATTTAGGTGAACTATCGCCCGTACAGTATGTAAATTAGGTACCGTAAGTCTAATACAGTACTGTAATTTTATACATTTCTTGTGAAAGAAACATTTCTTATTCAACGGCGATAAAAATTATTTATATTAATGATGTCTCCAAAGTTCAGCGACGTTTTCGCAGAAAAATAACATCAGAAATCGCGGCCGCCGTTTGCTGAGTTGTTCCGCGATGAAAACAAGCTTGAGCAATGGCGCTGTCGAATGGTGCACACTTGGTAAGTAATCCTACAATTTCTTGTGTATAGCGTAGTTTATACGGATTATTTCCAAAAAAAATATACGTATTTTGGAAATGTTGAGTTGGATTAGTCTAGAATCAATTAATTTTATGGAAGAAAACCTTTCAAACAGCTGTAGTCTGTAAACTTGACATGTGTCGGGCTGTGATTGGAAGGACTCGTAAGAAATCGGATTCCTAAAGAATGGAACGTATCTATGTTCTTATAGGGGGGTCGACTGTATAAGCCTAATGATTGGCATAGACAAAGCAATTTTGTCTTTTGCTCAGGCGGTTCGGTTTTTCCAGAGGGAGATCAACATAATGGGACATATCACACCATGATCCTGTCTGAGGCAGACCTGAATGCGAACTACTAATCCTGCTCCAGATTGGACTGACTCAACTCCTTCCTCTCACCCGATTGGAAATTTTAAACTTTTGTATAACTATTTCAAATATATGTTTTTTAGCCATGTCAAGTAACTCACCAACGTTATGTTTCAGACACAGTTCTCTCAGTCAAGACTGGACAAAATCTCAAACGTGGCTGCTTTTAACGAGCGACTCCAATTTATCCAAGGTTTTTCCTGATTAAATGTGAACTGATTTTATTATTCTTTTATTTCTTATTTTTTAGTTTAGTTCACTTTATTCATTTACTTTACTTTACTTTAGTTTAATTTAATTTCTTTATTACACTTTTCTTTTTTATCTGTACTGTTCATCATATTTTTTTTCTTTTCTCAACAATAAATCACTTATAATCTTTCATTTGTGACATATTACTGTTTAAACTGCTCGCCCAGGTTAACTACATCGATAAACATTGTCTTGAGTTTCTCGATATCACCTATCTAGTAAATAAAAGTGACACAATTCCATTTGATTTATTGTACTATGCCATCATCTCTTTTCTATTTACTTTTATGATGATATGAATGACATTTAAACATCTCTTAATCAAATTTTTATCAAAAGCTGCAAATTATTTTTATTAAATCAAAAGTAGACTCATTGCAATTGTACAAAAAATGCATCAAGACTAAAGCACTGAAGTCTGATTAGTTACTGTATGCTTTGATTAATGAAAAAAACTTACAATACATTAAAATTTTTCCAAGTTGTCAAAGAGCCTCCCTTGCCACCCTCTTGAAAGATTTGGCTTTAGAAGTGCTTTTAAATGTTTTTTTTCCTTGACACAAATTGTGGTGAAGCTATTTATATGCAAAAAGATTTCCATATTCCTGTTATTTTTCTTATTTATTTTACATATATAGTTGATATGCAAATTGCAAGGGAGGAAGGATATGAATGATTATATATATATACACATTATTATTATTATTATTATTATTATTATGTTGTGCTGCAAAGTGGATTTCTGTCAGTCAAACATTTGTCCAGCTGACAGAAATTATTATTTTTTTGACAGGCAAAGGCCCAATAACATGAGAAGGGAGTCAGGTTGAGATTTCAAAAACTGTTTGAATAGAGAAATGCTCATGGAACTATTTAGTTTGAAGACTAGAAAGAGTGGTCTGTGTCTTATTTTATATTTGTTCTTTTTTCATGTTAATCAATTTTATTTAGCTGGCTTTAATAGTTAATAAATTAACTTTGTGTTCCTGAGCAGATCTATAGAATAGAATATTTTTTTGAATAAATTAAATCAGACCCATATCTTATTATATCATATCAGAAGATTTAAAAAAGCATTTTAAAACCACTAACTGCAATAAATTGATTTATACAAGCTTATAATTTGATATTCTACAAATTCAATTTAAATCTTCATATTATAGCAAATGCCTTATTCTAGCCAAATAATATATAATTGTCTATGGAAATAAAATATTAAACTTAAGTTATTTCTTTTGCTCTTAGATTCATTTGTCATCAATTTATACCTGTTCAAAATAATTAAAAACTAATAAATAACAATTAAAAATACCAAATGATTGTGAAGTGCAACTTACGGAACCATAGTATTGATGGCTACAATACATTCAAATTCTTTGGTCCATGGATTTTGAAATACTTTCCATTTTGTCTGAAGACATACAAATGATCCTTCTTTAGTACGAAACTGATAAACCTGAGTAGTAATTTGATCATTGGATTGAAGAACTACAAGAAAAAATCATATAAAATTTCTATTACAAGTTTTAAATTAAAATATAATAAATTGTGAATGTTCTGATTTAAATGAGAATGTATAAGATAATTTCTTATTGAATATTGACATTATTAGTTATCTAAAATATGACACTAATTCCATTTGTTTTAATATTTTATTAAACAAATTCTACACTATCATAAGATATTTACCCTGATTATATACTAGGATTACAACATTATTTTTTATGAAGATATATTAAATAAATAATATAAAATATCTTAAAACTGAAATAAATTTATGAAATCCATCATTGTCTGTGACAATCACTCATCATGTATATTAATTGTGTTTGGTTATAGACTGTTTCATTTGTGTTATTCTAGAATGTTCTGTTGATGTCCTTTCATGTCTTTCTCTTTTGTCTTTTTCGAATAAGTTGCCTGAGGGGCAATAAGCATAGCAGGAAAGGAGGCAATAGATATATAATGTGTGGATGGGAGGACAGGCTTTCTTACTTTCTGGGGTGAAAATTCGGAAGGATGATATTAGTGACCAGAAACTACGACTTGAAGAGGAGGAAGATCCTTGCTCCCATTCCTAAGCAAGACTGAAGACGACATAGCCAGAACCCTCTATATGGGTATGTAGAGGTACTTCGCCTGTGATAATTCTCCCACTTCCTTCCTTCTTTCTGTCTAACATAATTTATAAATTAAGTTTAAGGAATCATGAATTCCAACAATACAACATTGTTGCAATTAAATTAATAATTGTTTGTAATAAGAATCAAAAAGAATAATCATGTAGAATAACTGCTGATGCATGCCTGTATGGAGTTCTGGTTGCCTATTTTAACCCAGAGTAGAAAATAAAATCTTACATGTCAAAGAAGAAAATATACAGTGGAACATGGAACACTTTACGCATTTCACATTTATGTATCTATTGTTTACACATTATTTTACATTGGTCTGAAAATATTCTTATATCTTTCAATAGTAAAATATTTAATTCATGTGTCTAAATTCATTATAAGTCTGATAAAGATAATATTCTTTGTAATATTGTGAGGCCCCAAAAAAACGGGTTGAAATTAAATATTTATTATTGGAAATTTATTAAAACGAAACTAGAAAAAAAATCATCTATTGTTAAAAACCAATCAAAGATCGAATTAGTTGTGTTAGTCATATGAAACCATGACGAGAGAAAAAAAAAAACTTTATTGATGTAAACAGAAAGTAATAATTTTAAATGATTAATAATTGTAACAAACGACCTCCAGTAGAGATGGACCTTTAAAAAGTCGCTCATATGCACATAATTAGAACATAGAAATTTTGAAAAGAGGAAAGATTAATGACAAAAAAGGACATCGCGTTGTGTCGTTAAATTTCAAAAACATCACGGACTAGACATCAATGGTGGAAAATATGAGCGCAAGTTTCAAAGTTCCATCAACATTTTGCATCCAGAGTTATGGATGGTGTCAGGTAAATTCTTCAAGGCGGATCTTTCTTGTGACTCGAAAAGGAATCGTTTTTCACTTAGACGAGGGAGCCAATCAGAAAACAAAACCAAGAGCGGAGATTGATATAATCCCCAATCTTGAAGGACAAGAGGGGACACTCACCAAGACTGCACTCGACACAACACTTGGCGAGTCAAGACAAAAGTGTGTGAAAATCGGATGTGCTGTGTCAAATAAAAACTGGAGACGAATCTTTTTCATCTGGGTGCCGATACCAAAACCCTGCCGTCGCCAACCAACGGAGTCTCACGAACCCGAAAACATCACTGCCTCGAGGCCACCTAAGCAATAAACTACTACAGGAGCATCGACGCTATCGACGTCCAAACAGCCGATTGTATCTAGACAATATTTGTTCCTTAGTGTAAGTTTAATTTTATGTTTAAAATAAACGAGTTTTTGTGAGATTCTTGTCATCTGTGTCTCCTCCGCCACACCCACACGCGTACGACCCTAGATCATTCTGATGCAGGATTAATGATTCCCCCCAGGAAGTCGGCGAACTTACAATATTATTGTAATTGCAATATTCTTTTAGAAAATGTACTTAGAAGATACAGAACATTCTTTGTTCTGTTTCCATATTCCCTTTTAACATTTCTGGAATTATATGGCATAAAATTGACCCCACCAAGTGTATTGTCTCTAAAAAAGAGAGAATTATTATTAAGAGATTATTGGCTAATGGGGATGAAGAGATCACAATATAAGGAAATTTCAGATGTTTTTAGTTTCATATAATAGCAAGAATCCATAAACAAAGAATATTTCTTTACCAAAACAAGTTTCTTTCAGAAATTATTTTAACATACAATACATAATGATTCTAACATACACTCCTAATTTTCTTAATGGATCTTTTAAAATATATAAAAAAAAATTTTTAATAAAGCAGTATAACACTTATTGCCAGTAGCATTTCATTCTTGAATAGGCAAAAATCATTTTGTAATTTAATGTTTATCAGATAGGTTATATGAATCAAGTCTACAGGATCACTAAATATTTAAAAAAATATATGCTGTAAGCAGTATTACTGCTTTTATAATAAAAATATGAAATAAAGAATAAACATTAAAATATTCATTAAAAACTTTAATACTATGAGTTTTTCATAAAAAATATAATTTCTGCCATCTTCTGGAGCATTTTTACTTAAAGTTTAATTACACACCTTTTTGTTCCAATGTACTGAAAATGATTTATTGAAATATCTCAAAATACAGCAGTCTTATTGAACGGTGTGTTGGTCTTGATGTCTTGGTAGATTAGTTGAGAGTGCTCTGACTCTCACTAATCATCATCCAACAAGACTGCTTTATTTGGAGATATTGATATTCAGAATCATAGCATATTACATACTAGAGAAATTTATGTAATAATTTTATATCCTTACCTAATCTATGACTTTCAGCTAAATGTGCAATGTCATCTTGATGATAATTTTCATAACAGGATGTTCCAATTAATTCTTGTGGTAAATATCCTAAAATTAATGTTGCTCTACAGTTAGAAAAAATTATTTTTGTTAATATTTGTTATGAAAAAAATTCTAAACTTACTTTATATTAATATAAATGATAATGATATATTATATTTTAGAAATATTTTTAAAAAATATCTGTTAAATTCAGGTTAATTTAAAGTCAATGTTAAATTCATTTCATTGTCTAAAATCATAAAAAAGTATTAAATGATCATTTATTTATAGCCCTATACAAATGATAAGAAATGAGTAAACACACTTATTAAGTTATTAACAAATTACAGATTTAGTGCCAAAATTGATAGTAATGTTTTCTTTCCAATTGAAATCATAAACTCCACTAAAATTAGTTTCAATGTAACGAGAATTTACCTGCAATTAATTGCTGTTTTGGCTCATTTTGATACTTCATTTTGTGCTGAAGTATGGATGTTTCAACAGATTGAGACACTTGAAACCATTTTTAAGCAGGGAATGATTTGTGGCATATAATACAATCAAGGGTACTAGCAGGCAGAGGGGGGCAAACAGGGCACTTGCCCCCTCTGGAATCAAGTAAAACATTCCACAAATTATAATTACATATCTCAGTCACTTTTACAATCTTATACCCTACACTTTAATGCAATATTGTATTCTATAATATATTTGTAAAAAAAATAAAAATTTAAATAATTAAATAAATAAATATTTATNAACTTTAATGCTAAAAGACAGTTTGGTTTATTCTTAACTTAATAATCGTCATTATTTTTCTAGTTACTTCCTGCAGACTGGTAAAAAATCTGAAAATATTGAGTTTTGTAAAATATTTTCACTTTGATAATAGCAGTGTGAATTGGATTTACATCTGAGGAGTTTCTTTAATAAGCACATTATCCTTATTCAATTTTTTATTTACAATTATGAATCATTTAAAGGTGAAAAATACAAATGTAAAAACTGTTTACATTTAAGTAAATGCAACACTATTAAAATGTACTGTATATAAGCAATATATGTCATCAATTTTATATATATTAAAATTAATTTAGAAAGGTATTTTTTCATCCATATATGTCTTCTTTCATCAGTCCATTTCAAGGCACCCCTGAAATGTCATTACACCATCCTAGTGTGCCATGGCAATCTAGGCCATGGCCACTGGCTTAATAGAAAACTTCCTTGGAGCAATATACTCCAATTATTGAAATTCACTGATAGAAGAACTAGTCATTATAAAGTGATCAAACAAAGATGAAATAAGGATTACAAAATGTTCCATCAGAATGCATGATCGAGTGTCTAATTAAAACTCTTATCACATGATAGTTGATATTGTACAAACTCTAGGATTCTAGCCACTACTGGTTTTCAAATAGTGAACTAAGACTGAATATTGAAAAGCATATAGTTGTACTGTACATGTATGAGATCTCTACAAAAGAATTAAGGATTAGATTAAAAAATATAATACTCTTTGTCAGATCTGAACAACTAAATACTAGATAGCGTATTAAGCATATAAGTGGTATTTTGACTTGCTTTACCGTATAGTGTCAACAGAACTGTGGTGTGATTTTGTACAAAACAGTTATGCATCAACAAAAACAGGAAATAATTTAGACAATTTAATGTGAACAGAAGTATTTATATATTTTTGAAAATTATAAATTAAATTAGAAATTAGTAATAAACAGCAACAAGTAAAACGGCAAGGTCATGTTTGGGACAAGACTATGTCTCAGAGACTCACTAATAAGCAGAATCACTTTGAAGCTTAAGAAGGGTCTCATTCTTATTCTCCAATCTTCTTTGGTATTGCTGCTTTTGGGCACAATTGTTCAAACTTCGCCGGCCACGACCACGAGGTTGTCCACGATGCATTTTCGACGAAATTAACCTATGCAATTTCGAAATTTCTCTTTGTTGCATGTCGGCCCGGGTTGAATTTTTGTCAATGCATAATGAAAATTTCCCATTTTTGAAAAAAATAATATGTCAAATTTTTATCAGTCCCATGATTTTACTATACTAGATAATGTTAAAAAACCCCCTTGTAACAACATAAAACCGTTTTAACGTCATATTTGAAGCACTCCCAAATTTACAAAATTAGGTTACAAATTTTATTTAACATAGAAGAAACTACATGTTCAGTCCTAAGGTCAGAGTTCACTTCTTAGAATGACTGTGGGTGGTACTTTCCCCCACCTGACTTCGGTGGAGTGAGGTGTCTGTATAGAAGAGGGTGGCCATTTCAGATTTTATTTTGATTCAGTTCTCAGTCCTCTGACTACATACAAGTCTGGATTATTTTATGCGCAAATGATTTGGGCACCTAATACTCTGTACCAAATATCAATTCTCGACATGTACTCCTTCATACCTCTATGCTGGTAACGTAATCATACTGCCATTTTTGGCAGTACGATTTTATAGATTTCATAGTTAATAATAATATAATGTTAAGAAAACTATATCAACAAAATATGTTTTAACTGTATTAACTATTTTGATTTTTTAGTAAGAGCCATCAAATACCAAGCATTAGTCTAATGTGGGCTTGATGTTGGCTACGTATGGCCTAGGTTGTGATCAGTTATTTTTAAATTAGAAGTTACAAAATGCACATCCTGGCAGGCCATTCCATTTGTGGCCCACATCTGAATTCAGGCCAGTTATTTTAAAAATCTCAAGTAATAGACTGCTTTTGCCATGAGTCAGATGTCTGTTTGTATGGACTGTACCATGGTAGCTTACAGCCTAAATTAGAGTAAGACTTTTTAAAAATTGAATACAATAGACATTACTTGTAATTTATTTGTTAAATTATTTTTCTTAAGTGAAATTTAATGTATATGAAAATAAGAAATGGCCACCAAGCAAATAGCCCACCAGGAAAATAAAGAATTTTCTGGTGGGCCAGTCCACCACCGATCACATATAACTATTTTGTAAATATATATTATAATAATTAATGTATACTATGTATAGTAATTTCCACAGTAAAACTTATTTATTTATATAAAAAGATAACAAATTATATTAATTTTTGCAATAAATTTGAACTATTTAAAAACCTGTAATTTAAATGGTATTCACTCAACCTGAAAATGACATTTTGAAATATCAAAAGTACTTGTTTTTAATTAAAAACTTTGCAAATAAAGAAATGCTAAAAGACAGTTTGGTTTATTCTTAACTTAATAATCGTCATTATTTTTCTAGTTACTTCCTGCAGACTGGTAAAAAATCTGAAAATATTGAGTTTTGTAAAATATTTTCACTTTGATAATAGCAGTGTGAATTGGATTTACATCTGAGGAGTTTCTTTAATAAGCACATTATCCTTATTCAATTTTTTATTTACAATTATGAATCATTTAAAGGTGAAAAATACAAATGTAAAAACTGTTTACATTTAAGTAAATGCAACACTATTAAAATGTACTGTATATAAGCAATATATGTCATCAATTTTATATATATTAAAATTAATTTAGAAAGGTATTTTTTCATCCATATATATCTTCTTTCATCAGTCCATTTCAAGGCACCCCTGAAATGTCATTACACCATCCTAGTGTGCCATGGCAATCTAGGCCATGGCCACTGGCTTAATAGAAAACTTCCTTGGAGCAATATACTCCAATTATTGAAATTCACTGATAGAAGAACTAGTCATTATAAAGTGATCAAACAAAGATGAAATAAGGATTACAAAATGTTCCATCAGAATGCATGATCACAATTCATAGCTTCTGTAGAATGTGGCACTTCTAAAAGCAAAAAAAGCTTTCCATCGTGAATACTATTGTTGTTTAGTAGTTATTGATCAATTTAACTTTGAAAATGATTGTTCTGCAGATGCAACAGATACCGTTTCAACTATTAAAATATATCCGACTTTTGGAGAAACGTTTTTCTGCTAGCACTTTCAGTAGTGTAAAACTACCATCATCAGGCGGTACATAGAATTCGATAATTTAAGCTTTCCGAACGATGTTCCGACGGTTCCTGTAACGCCACTACACGTAAGTGTTCTAATAATAGTATACATCGGCGTGAAGTGCAAACTTATTATATCATTAAAATATATGTATAACATCCTTTTAATCCAAAGAATTTTTCTTGGTAGATAATCTTACAGCATTTTGGTTAGAAAATTACAGTTTTATTTTAAAAATTTGAACTCAAATGCATTTCGGGTTGGCTTACGATTCCAACCCCTCTTCAGTGCTGTTAAAAAATATACAAATTGTAATAAAGGACACGACATTATTTAAATATCACATAAAAAGATTTCTACAATACAAAACTTACATCTCATATAATGGTACATTTATGCAGAGTAAGCCGGACATTCTGATGGGCAGCCCGATGTCCAGCTTGCTCCGGGGAGCCCGATGTCCGTCTGAGAGTTAGTTTTACACAAAATAGAACAGTGCACGATTACAAATTTTAGTGAAGACATAATCCTATACAAAAGGTATGTTGATGATGTGTTTATTCTATGGAAGAATGATACAAAAATACACCATTTTTTGAATGAAATAAATGCAAACGATGATGGTTTAAAGCTTAAATTGGAGCAAATTAGTAACACGGAAGTACATTTTTTGGACATTGGCATTTCATTCAAGAATGGTGCTCTAAACACAAAGGTATATATATATCAAGCCCATGCACGACCCGTTGTACATCCCATTGACATCCAATGATCCACACACCTATAAATGCTGAGCATTTAGAACACTGCTTAAAAGAGTTTTCCAATATTGCTCCAACATACATGACAGACTGGAAGAGCTGGATAGGATTATGGGCGTGGCTAAAATCTTGGGCTTTGGAACAAAAGCCATTGAAGAATTAAATAATAATTCTTACACAGATCCTAGAAGAAAGAAGAAAAAGGGAGATAGTAGCAGCAATATCACAAAGTTCACATACAACAGAGGTCTATCTGATGTTATGAAAGAGATAGCGAATCACAAAAACACAACACTACTATACAAAAGGGTTCCCACGATATATAACTTACTCAGAAATGACAAGGATAAGATCAAAGAGGAAGAGCAAGCAGGCATATACAGGATACTGTATAAGAATGACCAGTTAAGTATCAACAAAGAACATGTGGGCGTCACAACCAGAAACCTAAACAAAAGAATCAAGGAGCATAAGTATGATATAAACAAAAAACACTATTCAACAACATTATCAAAAAAGGTGGCACAAATGGATGGGTCAACAGTCGAATGGGCAGAAGCCAGAACTGCTGCACCAATATGTTGTNTCCCTGGCAAGGTATAGATATACAAATATACACAACCAAAACCCAATACATTAAGCAAATATACACCCATAACTGCCGTAAATGATTGGGCTAAATTTGGATATAATGATTATAATTCTTTTTCCAGTTTAATC